ATGCACATCTAGTAGGGCGCAGTCACGCAGTTTCGCTGGAAGTGGCGAGTTAGATTGCATGGGAACAAAGGAGGAATGGAGCGTCTCAGCTTCCTGGGACCAAGCTAATCCCTTCCCCTTTTGTGTACTTGTTTTTCATTTTCTTTTTCCTCTGCTTCCTTGGTTGGTCTCACCCTCCCCTCAATCCAATTGGCTGTCTTGACATTCTACGAGGTGTCGAAATAAATAAATTAGTAAATAAAATAAATAAGACCATTCGACTCAGCACCCTGAAGACTATGACTGGTGAAAATTTGATTTTAAAGGGTATATTACCAAATTGGCTTTACTTGACTCGGCGGGGATTGCGTCGGCGCTGACACCTTTTTTCGAAAATAATCTTTTAGACATGGACTGAAGTGTTGAGCCATATTTGCCATAGCTACCCATATACAGCTCTATCTTGCTTACATCCTTCTCTCTCTCTCTCTCCTCTCTCTCTCTCTCTCTCTCTCTCCCTCTCTCTCTCTCTCTCTCTCTCTCTCTCTCTCTCTCTCTCTCTCTCTCTCTCTCTCTCTCTCTCTCTCTCTCTCTCTCTCTCTCTCTCTCTCTCTCTCTCTCTCTCTCTCTCTCTCTCTCTCTCTCTCTCCGTTTCTTTCTTTCTTATCATCATTTAGGTGTCAGTCTCTCTGTCTCTCTCCTTGTTGTACAATACTAATGTCATCCCCACCCGTCCTCGTCCTTGGCTTGCTCTGAGAGTGGAGCAATGGCACTCAATAGTCTCAACCATGCAATGCTCGTGTTTGTGTTCTTGCCACCGAGACACCTGGCCTAAATGTCCCTGAGCGTATGTCCCTTGCTTCTTGTTTACCTGGTTTCATAGGAGTCTTTAGTTAAACTGCATTTGTATTGCGTTTGTTTGGTATCTACCAGATATCTGAAGAATTGGCAAGGGCTTCCAAGGAATACTTTGAAGCGAACACACATCGAGGATGCACGGACGTCAACTCGGCAAACTTTAACTTCAAGGCAAGTGATCGATGTGTGAATGGGATCTACAGCTGAAAACCAAAAGTTGGTCCCTCAGCACTTCCTGCACAGACGAAATATTGTTCCCTGGAGACGGGGCTGAAGTGAGATGGGTGCTTACTTTCACCCAAACTGATGATCTTAAAAAACACTGCATGCGATGAATGTTCAATCTTGCAGGTAACTTTCAAAGGAAATCTCTCGGAAGTTGACAGAGGGTGAATTTCTCAGGGCATGGAGCGGAATGGCCTAGGTTTTGCGAGCACTGCATTGAGGCAAACTCCTATCAACTTGCCCATAGTCGGCCATTCTGTCAATAATAGATGGGCAGCAAGTCTATTTGGACACAAATTAGCAACCAGTTCCTATTCCAGAGGGATGCACACATTTTGAAGGGAAGCTACAACAGCTGGGCATAACAAAAAAGAATAGAATAGGGCTGCAGTGTTCGTTCCATGCGGAAACGTGGCAATGCACATGTTCTGAGCCAAATAGGAGATATCTGCACACACCCTGTATTTCTGCCTTGAGATGGGCAGTAAATTGCTGTCAGGTGCTTCAAGTCAGAGCCTTCATCAAAATGGAATAACATGATGAGTAACAAGACGATGTATCAAATAATCTTTTACCATCCACCACCGCTAGAAGATTGTCCTTCGTCTGATCATTAACTTTCTCGTTGGTTTGCACTTTCACGGCAGGCAAACAGCGGAGATCGCTCCTTGTGCAACCCTGTGCCACACAACTATACGTTTGGCGGTATTTATCAGACTTGCACGGTGCAGAACGGCGAGGACAAGGAAGACTTCTGCAAGCCTTTGACCCAGAAGAACCCAAGCACCGGTACGTGATTTGCTGCACAAATGCATGCAGTCCAGGAACTGATCATCAGCTTCTTGGCTGCACAAATGAGCCTTATGGCACCATAGGTATATGCCATGGCTGGGTATCGCCCTCATCTCTGTGGTTGCTCTCCATATAAGGGTTGCTTGCAAATCCAATGCAGGGGAGGTAATTTAGGGTTTGGGGTGGAACGGTCATCAATTCGAGGTACTATAGTCATGTACTTGTTGGGACCGGGGGTGGCTCCGCTGAAAACATATTTCGAAATCTGGGGCCCAAATCATTGCTTTTGATTATTGACCCACGGGGTCCCTGTGGCAAAATGTGTTACAGTAGAATACTTAAGTGACCGTTTTGTGTCCGACGCCCCTCCAGTATCGGATTGAGTTGATGATAACACAATGAATGGAGTGAGTTGTGCAATCAGTACAAGCAGCAAAAGAAGAAAAAAATTACAAGTCAGATTGCACCGAATAAATCTTTGGTTTCGAGCAACGTGGCCAGAAAAATACCGGTCGGTCGGTCGGCTTTCTTTTTCCCCGGATATATTTTATGCATGCCAGATCTAATATGCACATCTGTACAGTACACAGCCCAGATACAAAATGTGTGGTCGATATTATTATAGAAGCAGGCATACAATGCTATGTACAGGTCATGTGCATAGCATTCTCAATCAAGAAGACAACAGCTCGATCACGACAACCAAACCGCCGGGAACAGCCAAACTGGTCATACTCAGACACCGAGAAAAGCACAGCTCCTAGATGTTGCGCATTAACACATCATCCAGCAATCGTCACAGGCCAGGAACTACTGCTTCCTGTTGCTCCAACGTAAACAAAAAGAACGGCCCGCGTCCGAACTCCAAATGAAGTCCAACTTTTTCACTCTTGTCAGGACCGTTGCGGCTTGACCCAGTTTCCGTGGAGGAAGCAAACACTGCTTCGAAGCAGTGACACCTTCTGGACAAAGAGTTTCTAACACTCCTCCATGACTCTAACAATGCGGCTGTTAACGACGGTCCGGCCGCCATCAACTATAGTGACGGAAACTGAACGCAGATTTGCGCCACTAAAGTTTCTAAACTAAACATAATCAGTGTCAAAAATGTTACACTTGACAACTACAACCAACCTGCAACAAATCCGACTCGAAACAAGGGACCGAAATGTCTAGCCAGCGCCAGGAAGGAAGAGCATTGGCTTTCGCCTGAAACATCGCAAACTGCATGCACGTACATAGTATATTGGTAGTACACTGTACATGTGTATAATGCGCATAAAAACATAATATTTCGATATGCATGAATGCATGCAACAAAAAAAGAAATCCGTCGGCGCTCAAAATATCGGTCAGCCGGTTACCCGAAACCAAGGACTTTTTCGGTGTGGTCTCATGCATATTCCCTATACGTTTTTGAGGCATCGGAAGGATTACTGGCAAATAAAATTAAATCCAACAAGGCAATAACTCCGTATTAATACGCACACTGCAGAGTAGAAACCTATCAGAACCTATCCAGTGTGAACAATGAGAGCTGAGAGTAATTATAACAACCAGAACAAAGCTGCTTGCACAGAACTGGTTAAGCGGTAAAGATGTGAATCAACTCCACTACACGCCAACGAGGTCAAACGAAAAACAATCATCAGTAGACTAAAACGACAATCTCTATTCTGCACCAGATAGTTAGCTGGAGCAGATTCATACACCCTACCAGTAATCCTTGTCCTTGGTGCAAGTGTGGGGAAGGAGATCAATGATGGTGCAACACTACAACTCACGCTTGGATATGTCGTACTCTGCTGCGTCTAAACGGATACTTCTTTTTGAAGAACGTTCATCAAATTTGCTCCTTTTCTCGTTTTGTTGCCGTGCTCTCAACTGAAGGTGACTTCCAATGTCCGCCAATGTATGAACCGGTTCTGCTTCACACGGGAGTTCACACAACATACTGGCAGCAACCTGGCTGCAGGCCTGTTAAATACACATATTACACAGTGTTTGGTCCTATAACAAGAGAACTAAAGGTAAGAACTGGCTGTTTTCTACTTGTGTGCAGTGAAGTATTATCATACCTTGACTTGAAGATATTGCACATCGTATCCAATCCGTTGTTTGCCTATTTGAATGCATTTCATCTAGCATCAGAAGGAGGGACGAGGCCGTCACAGCCGGGGCCGGGGGTGGCTGGGGCGGCTGAGGCCGCCCCACTTTTCAGCCGTTATTATTTTTTTTGGAGCACATTGCAACAAAAATCGATGATCGCAGCTCAGCGCAAACGTGACAAATCCTTTTCCCCGATCGTGGTTTTTTGCAGAAACAAAACAGTCTTTCATTGCAGTTACACTGAAATGGCACCAAATGCCTGGAAATGCTTGCAATTGGCTTCAATTTTTTGACATTTTTCCGGGGGGAGGGTAATGTTTGTCCCCGATTGTAGCATCTTCAAGGTTTGTTGCAGGATCAAAAAGTCTTTCATTTTAGTTACACTGAAATGGCACCAAATACCCGAAAATGTTTGCAATTGACTTCAATTTTTGAATTTTTTCCCGGGGGACGACCCCGCACCCCCTTCCATGGCCGCCCCACCTCAAAAGTCGGTGCGACGGGCCTGACTGGGAGTGTTGGATTACTCAGCATATCCATAGTTGGTCCGGTTCATCGAAATTGTCGCTTATCTATCGCCACCAAGAACAGGAGATTTTTTTACGACTGTGAGAAATTCCCAATAGGCATAGGGAAGAAGCATGATACATGAATACTCTACGCCACCAGAAGAATAATTCAGCAATCGAATCTGATGAACAGTTTCCTCTGAGACAAGAGTGCGATAATACTCATAAAAGGACACACTTCAGGCTCTTTCCGAACATCTTCATAGTGTTCCTTGTCTTTGGCCTGTATTTCACCTGATGAGAAGGCTTGAAAGAATACTTGTGAAACCAAAAACTTTCAAGATGTTTGTAAAGAGCCTGAAGTGTGTCCTTTTTATGAATCTGATGAAGCGAGTCGAAGAAAGGAAGCAAGGCCAAGGTTAAAAAATAATTATGTACAAAAGAAAACAGCGATATCGCGATGGAGCGCGTTCTTGCGCTCACGCTTTCACAGGTCCTGAGTTTATCCGACTCCGTATCACTCGAGCTGCTGTCACTTAAGCTGACATTCGCTGGTGTGTTTAGCTGCTGGCGTAGAGTATCTCTTGCCTTCTTCACCTGGGGCATGGCAGCAATGGGAAAGGAACAGTTGTGGCTGTCACTTCGGCGCTTGGAGGAAGATGGGCAGCGGCAGCGTGACCTGTGTGTCACAACCGTGTGTTTCAAAAATGCCTTTGAATGAGGCACACAGCCCTCTCCAGAGAGCTGTGATACGCCCCACTGGATATGCTGACCAGCTTCAGAAGTGCCAGCGCCACGACGGAAAAACCAAAGCTTCTCTCGCATCGCATCGAAAACAACGTTCTTCTCCGGCATGACTGTGCCGTGACTGTCACACTCTCCAGGTCAGGACGTCGATTTCCCCTGCTACAGTTCCGGTCTTCGAGCTGCTGCATGCCCTTGGCTTTCGCTCACTTTCCCTGCAAAGTCGTACGAATCGCGATGCCACTCGCGCTAGTCGCGATGTTTTTTCTTACTTGTCTCCTTTGAGCTTGCCATCACAACCTCTCAAACGAAAGTGAGTAAGATATCGCGATCGGACTGGGTTTTAAGTGTCAAAAAGTGCTTGGAAGATAAGCGACAATTGCGATGAACCGGATCCAGTACAAAGGAACAGACACCTGAAAAAAACTCGGCAGGTGGAATGATTGACAGAAAAAATGCTCTTGTGTAGCATAATTAAGAAAATATTTCTGCTCGTGCCAAGTTTACCCCCCCCCCCCCAACAGGGAGATTCTCGCAAGGTTAATTAAGTTTCAAGACAGAATCGTGCTGAACCTTTGACAGAGTTGGTCATCACCACATCTGCCTTTGCTTGTGAAGCAGCTCCTTCTGGCAGAGTGGTACAGTCAGATCTCGTTTCTCCGGTCCTCTTTTGTCCGGATCCCTTGTCATCCGGAAGAAAATCATTGGTTACCGCTTTAAAGGGGCACTCCGGGAATTTTTTCCATGGTGTGTTCTCTTCATGGGGGCCTTATATGGCCCCCAAGGAATGGGGAATCGCGAAAACTAGACCCAAAAAGTCGATATATGAAGCCAGGGAGGGCCAAGGTTGTCTCCTCTTTTGATGGTTTTGATGACGTCACGTGTGATTAGTATTCAAATTCTCTGAATTTGAAGATGTCAGTTGTTTGAATTTTCTGGTGATGAAGAGCGATGTTTGGTCGACATTCCCAAGCTTCACAACTGCGGACATACTCTAAGGAACCTGAAGGACCCCCTGAGGTGCCCCTGGTAGAAGCGCAGCCTGATGAGGACCAGGAGATTGGAACGGACGACTTCACTGGTCCGAGTACGAGGATCCCGAAATTCTCTATACGCCGTGAGGCATATGGTCAGAACAGTTTTGTTTAGACAAGCTGACGCGAAGTCGGGGTGATGTGTAACGCATGTCAAAGGGCTGTCAATGCTTACAGCTGCAGCGCTCTCTCTACAGCGAAGGTAATCGACTGCCCTCTGCATCACCCCACATTTCTGGCACGAACACCAATCGTTATTAATTTTCGTGTCGACCAGTGAAGTTGTCCGCTCCAATTTCCTGGCCCTCATCAGGCTGCGCTTCTACCAGGGGCACCTCAGGAGGTCCTTCAGGTTCCTTAGAGTATGGTCGCAGTTGTGAAGCTCGGGAATGTCGACCAAACATTGTTCTTCATCACCAGAAAATTCAAACAACTAAGATCTTCAAATGCAGAGAAGTTGAATACTAATCACACGTGACGTCATCAAAACCATCAAAAGAGGAGACAAACTTGGCCCTCCCTGGCTTCATATATCGACTTTTTGGGGTCTAATTTTCGCGATTCCCCATTCCTTGGGGGCCATATAAGGCCCCCATGAAGAGAACACACCACCGAAAAAATTCCCGGAGTGCCCCTTTAAAGAGCATGCCATGCATACATACAGTATGTGCGTTCGATTATTCGGTTCCCTCGTCTATCCGGATATTTTTGTGGAAAAGGGACGTGTGCGGTTAAGTGAGGTCTACCTGTACCTTGATCATGCAGGAATCTTGGTGCTCTTCAACATGTTGGTGAATTACTGGCCATATCTGTTAGTGCTTTAGACTGCTTAGCAAGCACAGAACAACATACATTGGTGGTGTGTGAACACAGGGAGTGAGGAGCTCAGTGCGTTCTTCATGTCTGTTTGTGCTGTCCAGGTGTGCAGCAAATACGTGTACTCAGCCGATGCGGTCTACCAGACCTACTGGTGCGTGAGGCTGGACAAGGTGGCAGCCCGGTCCGGATACCTCTTCGGAGGAATCTACTCGGACAAGTACCCAAACCCTGTGACCGAGCTGTGGACGTGCCCGCAGTATTTCTACGCCTTAACAATGGGCAATGGGATGAAAGTGTGCATCAGCAATGACTACAAGAATGGTTATGACCATGCTCGTCCATTTGCAGGTATGTTGATCTACTCAGGGGCACCAACAAGAAGAATAAGAGGGTACTAGTAGGGAAAGGGTTGTTCCCCGAGTTTCATGCACTAAGCGATCATCAGACACCTGTTGTTTTGGGAAATTGTGCCCAAATAGCCCATATTCTATTGCTCTACTGGCACGGCTTTGCCCGCTCCTGCCCCACCGGTTCTGGCACCCCTAAATATTGCTGTAGGACTTCACTTCTGAGAGCTGGTTTTGCACTAACGCCTGTTTCCTTTGTATACATGACATTAAAATCCTTCGGATTTGCTCTGCCTCATCGGGTCCTCATTCTTAGCATACGCGGGGGAAGCCTGACTCTCCTAGGGGCTAAAGATCAGGGAGAAATGACGCAAACATTGACAAGGGAAATGGCAAGATACGCATGTGTGTGTGTGTGTGTGTGTGTGTGTGTGTGTGTGTGTGTGTGTGTGTGTGTGTGTGTGTGTGTGTGTGTGTGTGTGTGTGTGTGCGTGTGTCCCATATGGTGCAGTGGTATGTGCAGCGATTTCCAATCGATAGGTTGCGGGTTCAATTCCCGACGATTATGGTCATACACACACACACACACACACACACACACACACACACACACACACACACACACACACGTCTTTCTTCTCTTCCTCACACTCTTCCTGCCCTTTCTTTTATTCCCCTCGGTGGTTACCAACAGCCAGTGCATTCTGGAGTATGTGGTGTGATGTGTGTGGGTGGGAAAAATTGAAAAAGACCAAAAAGTGGGGATTCACTGGCCAGAAAAAAGCCACTCCATACCTGTGTGGTGTAGACCAGGCTGATTCGTGGCAGTCAATTCTTCAGCCTTGCAAGCTGTTATGGTACAATCCAAGCACAGGTTGCTATGGCATCTGCCGTGGCATCGTTACCATCGCCACTGGCGATGGTCGTCAAAATGTGTGTGTGTGTGTGTGTGTGTGTGTGTGTGTGTGTGTGTGTGTGTGTGTGTGTATGAGTATGTGTGTGCGAGGGCGATCTGGCATACCCGAAGCTGCCTTAACCATGCGGCAATTTGCTTTGACGTACTGCCTAACATACAGGTCACCGGTGATGCTCAAAAGAACCAGGCGAATTATTGTGCTCGTTCTGCGTCTTTTGGTGGCATAAAGATGCAGACCACACTCAGCTTACGCGGTGTGTGCTGTGCATGTATTATAGTCGGAGCTAGTACATCTGCTGTCGCCGTGCGACTTCCCTGATCTAATAATACTCATGCCAGTTGCACTACAAACAATCCACTCATGACATCTTGCTCTAAAAGGCGAGCTGCCTGCAAACTTGGATTCACACAAGAGCCATAAGAACACGAGGTCAATCTTGGTGATCATAAAAAGGAGAGAGGCTGATTAGGAACGCGCATGCCTAATTTATACGGGTCAAGATCGCGCATGCCTAATATGCGCGCGCACCATACTGCGCATGCCTATAGCCATTCAGAATATGGAAGGAGCGCGGCAAGGTCAGAAAAAGTAGGCTCTAGCACTACAAATCTATGACTAAGTGATAATTATGGAAATTACGATCGCGTTCGCGACATCTGCAGCGCGATGTTAAAGAACAAATTAGTGTATAGGACCGTGCACGTCGTATGGTGCTTTCTGGTTGGTGCTTGTCAGGTCTCCAAAGGCTTACTTGAGAAACACCACAAGGAATTCAATAGTGCATCATCCACACCTCTATGCTATTGTGTGTCTGTTTCGACATCACAGGTTTTTACAGCTGCACAACCGGCAATCCGCTTTCTTTGGCCAACGCTAAGCCGACGACGGCACCCATGCGGCTTTCTGAGGTATGTTACAATTTTGGTTCTTTCCCCAGGTTTGGTTGTGTAGTGGAAAAGGATTAGTGACGGAGAGAGTTCGTCAAAAGTGGTTGTGAACAATAATCTAAGGGTAGTTATTCAGGACGCGGCATATGTACGCTATTCCTTGGTTGAATATTTGGAATGAACAAGAAGCATTGTTCTTTCGAATGACGAACATCTGTGGGAGCGTGTTTTTGTGTGTTTTCTATTTCATTTATTTTGAATGTTATGTTGGTTTCATGGTAATAACATGAAAGGTTGTGCAAGCGTTGAAAAGCGCTTGCACAGTTTGAATCGGTCTCTCTTTGTCTTGCATCGCAGTCCACTTGATACAATCACGTCCTTATGTTGCCCTAGCACCTGCCCTGAAGTGAAGACAGACCAATAGACACTCAGGCAGTTGTTGACTACAGCTCAGGCAGTTTGGATGATTATTGCCACCCACTGGATCGCCATTTGCTTCTAAGCAATGGAGAATTTGTTGTAATGTTTTGAACCCAGACTGGATTCGATGCGCTGACTGGAGAGAGCAGTTGGCCTAAGGAATGCCCGTCCGGATATTCTATGAAATTGGCGGGCATTGATGATGGCTGCCAGATCAACTACTGCTCGAAAAGCATAGCATACCCTGACGCAGTCCGACCCCAACTCTACAGACCTCCATATAGCAGGACTTACCCACCACCTGGAAATCACACCATCTATGTGACGGAAATCACTGGACCAGGTGGAGAGATGTGGCGTAAGAATCTTACAACGGAAGTTTGGAGCAAGGTGAGGCCGATCTTTTGATTCATTTTTCAGTTAATTTTTACTGTTGTTTTGGCTCACTAGACTTCTTGTATTCTTTGATTTCAATTCGCTCAGGGCACAGGCAATACTGCCTTCTCACCGGAGAGAGGATTCTACGATTCCTACCAAAAACGAGAAATCTGCGATATGAATATGTATGAGAAAGTTATGAGAAAAATGAATAATGATGATGTCAAAGTATGATAGTTTAGTTGTTATGCGAGATTTCCCTGACGATTACAGATAAAGCTTTTCTGGAGGCAAATGTCCAGAAAGGATGCGAGAACAAAATACAGCGTTCCTGAAGGCTTCATTGCAACATGTTCGGCCAGTCACTTTGAGCACTGCTGACAAAACCTAACAAGGTCGATTCACCTATCTGTGCAGAGATTGAGTAGTTACACAACAAACAAGTAACTGAGTCTAATTTTCTGGGATTGACTTCCCCCACCATTCGTTGCAGCAATTGGACAAATTATATCTCCCCATCCCTACTAAAATGAATCCACTACCTCAACTCCTTACAGCGTTGGATACATTCCCGTGTGAGCAGAGAATGAAAACTGCAAACAGTAAAAAAAGTACGCAACCCTGCATTCAAAGAATACACCGTCAAACCAGAATCCTAACAAATTATCAAAGGACTATGTGGTACTAATAAGTGGCCATCCGGAATTATCGATAATTTTCACAAAACGAAAAAGGTTCAGCTATGACCCTCCCCCACCCACCCACCCTCATGAACGAAAAATAGATTGACTCGCCAGCTGGAATGGACTGATGTTTCAGCGATCAATATTTTTCATAACGAAATTTTCTCTTCGTGAAAAAGATCGATAACTGCGGATGGCAACTAAGTACATGCACGTGCTTAGGCTCAAAACAAAGCCGATGGTAGTTGAACCAAATTGACAGTCTGCCAATTGGGATTCATGGTGTATACAAAGCATACACTGTGACAACAGAAGTGTTCTATCGTTTGTCATTTCTTGCCTGTGCAGGTTATTTTGGGTGCACAGCCATTGGGCTATGGTGATCAAGCTGAAGGCAGGTAGGCAGACGATTTGATTTTTCTTGTGAATTCCAGAGTGCTTAAGGCTGCAGAAAACTTGCTGTTTTGGTCGATGACATTGTACGCTGCGAGGAATTTCTTTTGGATAGTGCCATCTCTTTCTCTCTTTCTCTCCCTCCCCCCCCCCTCTCTCTCTCTCCCTCTCAAAAAAGGTTACATCTGCACAGGGTTGTATAGCCCATGCGAATGTCAAGAAAAGGCACTGGCAAAAAATGTTGTTTATTCCAGCCATAACTAGGGCTGAAACAATTATACCGATAACTCGCATATCGATCGTTAAGAGTGCGATCGATAATCGTTAGTGTTCAAAACGAGTACTAACGATTTTTTATGCATGCACATCAGTGACAGTATTCTAGCCCTTGCACTCCATCCGATAGTGGAATATCAGTGCAATCATGTACTTTCAAGCGCAGTAAAATTGATTTGTGGCTTTGAAAGAGATTGGGAGAGAAGAAGTCTTTTCCGTTTATTTGTGGGAGAAGTTGGAGATGAGAGCAGCTGCCAGAGGGTGATGACATGATTCTTCGCTCAAGAAACAACATGAAATTCTCTACTTGAGTAGTTCATGCTGCATAAAACCAGCCAGATATCTACAGATGTCAACAGGTGCGGTGCCACAAATTTCTAGCATAGCAAAGGCATCATAGAATTTCTTTATAAACCGGTGTTCGATAGAGCCGACAAGAATCGATAAAACCAATATGTCGATCGTTAATGATATTGGTTGATCGTTAGGAGTTATTGAATGATCGTTTCAGCCCTAGCCATAACAGGATGGTTCTTGCTATCAATTAGTGGTGGTATGACCAATACACTAATGACCGTATCATCACTGTAGAGGTGAATACGTAATGATAATCACTGGCTGAATGGTGAATGCGTTTTTCTGTGATCGGTATCAGTGTATTGGACAGCACATCCAGCCACGGCAGAACGCTGGTCTACACCCTAGTGCCCGCTGCGGTGGTGGTCCTCGCCCTTGCCCTCGGTCTGGCAGCTCAGCACAAGCAGATCAAACACCTTGAAGTGCAGAAGACTCCAGAATCGCGTCGCCCCCAGGTCTCGCTCTCGGTGGGACCAAGTCCAAGAGCTAACATTAGCTTGAACAATGATCTGCTACCTTTGGCAGAGCAGTTTTAGTTACCCTACAGACCCGAGACAATCAAGCCATTGACTATTAGATTCTCTCTCTACAGCATAGTTGTTGCATCCAAAATGCGTAAAACTTCCAAGTTCGGTCATTCTTTTCATGTCTACTTTTTCAGTTCTCAATTCCTTAGTCGTAGTCTCTACTACGTAGAAGTTGAAAATTAGATCATGGGCGTAGGAACCGGTCCGGCAGGCCCGGCGGTCGCCGGACACATAATTTTCGTTCAACCTTGTTGATGGCTTGTCGACTCTTGTACAGGTACCATGTTTTACATCGACAATGCGGTGTATCATCAGCATGCATATTCCTATTTCTCATATTATTCTGTAGCATTAAAATATGGCCTTTTAGGCCCAATTTTCAAAAAATATCCCGGGGGAGGACCTCCGGACACCCTCTCACAATTTCGCTGCACCAATACTAAACTGCTTCCTGCGCCCCTGTAGATGACGTCATTATCTAACAATTCTGCTCTTCCTTCATTGTTACTTTTTGTGTGTGATCTTGGCTCCCATTTCTCAGAGCAGGATCGCGGTAATATTGTCTTTGCAAATTGTTGTGCATCATATGTGCATTGCCTCATGAGTGGCCTGATTGTTATTGATCAATTCTGGTACTTGTGATCACGGCCAGAGCACAAATAGAATCCTCAATATTACCGACGCTTCAGTTAGCCGTGCCTTCACTCATTTACAATTCACTGATGAAAATGTGTTCTAATGAATTGTATACAGCGGCTGAAACCATTGTGGGATTTCGCGGCTCAACCGACCGAGTCACAGCAGACAAGCGCTGGCGTGCATTTAATGAAGTGACCGAAATGTCCCTAAGGCATAATTATGTGTATTTGTAAATGATGAGTCCACAAAAGACGAAACAGTTCTGTCCGCAGATTGAATACTTTTAACATACCATAAAGTCGCGGATAAAAGCCGGGTTTGCATACAAGCGCATCGCGGATAAAAGCCGCCGGGTTTGCATACAAGCACATCGCGGATAAAAGCCGCCGGGTTTGCATACAAGCACATCGCGGATAGAAGCCTGAAAATCAAACGGGTCAAATGCATATAAGCCTGTCGCGCGTAGAAGCCTGGCTTCTATGCAAGCGCGGATCGGGTAGGTCAAGAGTGCATGCGCTATGTACAGTGCATAGTAAAACTGCCGCCATACCGGTAGTCAGTGGTAGATCTACGCGTGTCGCGCGTAGAAGCCTGGCTTCTATGCGAGCCCGGATCGGCCGATGTGCATACAAGCCTGGCAAAAATATCAGTGGTGCATATAAGCATGGTTTGCATACAAGCCTGGTTTGCATTGAAGCCTGATGCAGAAAGCGGCTTATGTGCTTATAAGCCCGGCTTTTATCCGCGACTTTACCGTATGTACAGTCCATTCATCAGAAACTGGCACCCTAACTTTTTGGTGTCTCCCTCACGTAGTTGTAGATATCGTGAAAACAACGGTGCATCCTGCATTATGTGAACCGTGCAATTACTCCTTGCCACATTCGGGGCCAGAAAAGTCCAAGAACAGGGAAAAAGAAATTCAGCCAGGTTTTACAAATTTAGGACAGGTATGCCATGGCAAAATGTGTGGAGAAGCAGATCCTAAACCCAGTTTTTTGAGATTTAAAGTGGGTTTTGATCCTCAATTCGGCCCAAATCCGATTTTCAAAAGCCAGCGGGACAGTTTTCGATGAATGGACTGTAGGTATGTACCGTATTTTACCGGTTGTAAGTCGACCCCGGTGATAGGTCGACCCCCGTATCCGGAGGTCTCATTTCGGCGTTTTAAAGTTTTCACCCAACGAAGCACTACCAACCACTCCCTGCTACTAACACCTCAACAAATCATGTAAACATTCCTTATTGGAGGGTATAACGTCCCAATCCTTGAAAAAGGCCAATAAACTGGCAAACATGTGTACACATGGTGCACTCATGCATGCAGGGCAAGTCATTTTTTGTAAGATTCTGATAGTTCCCGGCTATAAGTCGAATCCTGGTTGTAAGTCGACCCCCACCCTTTCTCCTTCTATTTTTAGTCGTAAAAGGTCGACTTACAACCGGAAAAATACGGTACTTCCTTTCCTTTTTTCTGAAGTAAAAAAAAGTAAATTATCGTGTCCGTTCCCGGAGGGAACTCACGACGGCCGCTAACACCCGATAAACCCTAAGTGAACTGAAGTGGTGGCATGTAATTTTGTCTTGAATTTGGGCATTACTTCAGTGCCAACGTTCGTGCCGAGTGCAAACTTTCGGTATGGAATATATTTTGGTCCCACCTTGCGCCGCATACAATATCATAAAGAGTGGTTTTGACCTGCAGCGCAAGTCTAACTGTTCTTCATTTACAGTCGTGTGCATGGGTGACTGTGCATGTGGGAGGAGGGGGTGGGGTGGGGGGGGGGGGGGTACATACCGTATTTTCGGAGTATAGTGCGCACCTTTGTATAACGCGCACCCCCAATCTTCATTGGGGTTGCGCACTTCAATCTTCATTGAAGTACATGCATTTCATATTCAGAGCATAGTGCGCACCTGCGATTTAGAGCCTAAAATAGCACATTTAAAGTGCGCACTATACTCCGGAAAATACGGTACATGTATTCAAGGCAGTAGATTTACAGGGCGAAGCTCAACATGGGACAGTCTAGGCCTTGACGGATTATGCTAGCATAATATTTCGCATAATTCGAGGCAAATTGCATACGAATCGCATAAAATTGGAATAATCCGCCTGTTCGCATCAAATTCCATACAGTTGTACATGTTCTACAAGTACAGGTAAAAGTTGATGCACCAGGAAGTCGTAGGTTTACGACTCCCTTGAGAACATGTCCAGTCCATTACAATCAGTGACGATCGTAGCTACATGTAGGTCGGACGGTGCGTTGACCTCGTTGAACTTTTGCTACTACAGTACAACGCCCTCTACAAAAACATTCCCCTGTTATTTTGCACAGAATCATCATATACATTAGCAGCATGTGTGAGCATAATGTGGCATAATAATTATGATAACTTTAAGCATAAAAATAGCATAATTCTGCAATTTTTTCAGCAATGCAAAAAGCATAATTTCACGAAAATATTAGCATAATCCGTCAAGGCCTAGAACAGTCTCACTAGAAGGAGGCAGGTTCATAGTCGGAGAACTTTTTCCTTTACCCATTACCTATCCATTTCATCATTATCGCTGTTGTAAACCACCAGTTCTCAATTGGGAAAGGCCTTCGCGCTTATGGCATTGTATTCGTTGAAATGTTGTATTTCGACTCCGCCGTACCGCTGATGTTGCTGCATGGCATACGCTATATGCGTTGTGTGCGTTTTGCTGTATACGCTGTTATGTCCAGTTTTATCTGCTTATGTTTTGCATGTACGCTGTTTTTGCATGCTATAAATAGCTGGTGTTATTAGTGTTCATTGTTAATTATCAGATGAAGTGAAATATACTGTGTAAAGGAAAACAGTTGTCCTCGTGCCGTGTGGTCGTACGATCCTGACAATTTAGAGAATCTTAGCAGGGTTCACAACATTTGGCGACCACGCCAGGATAGGAGCGAGCATGGCAGAGGAACTATGGAACAATTTGGAAGCCAGCTTTATCGACAATGGAGAGCGGTTAGGATTAGAAGGCGAGTTGTTGAAGGTACATGTGGAGCAGAGGCTCCAACAGTACGCGGAGCGTGAGGAGCGCAGTGCCAGACGGCGAGAGGAGGCGCTCCGCACCGAGTTTGCCAAAACACTAACGGAGATTAACGAGCGCATCGCCAATGCGCAGGAGGGTGAGGGTAAAGCCACGATGGGAGGTACAGAGGAATCTCCCAGTCACAGCGGTGGGCGTCTACCGGTGATGAAAATCCCCTCATATGATGGAACGCAGCCATTGGAGCGTTATCTTGACCTGTTCGAGGACATCTGTTCCAAGAACGAGTTCGAAGAAAGCGAATGGCTGCTGCGACTGCGCATCGCGCTAGCGGGTAGCAAAGCGGAGAGGATATGTATTGGATGCAACAATTACGAGGAAGCAAAGCGAGAGTTGCTTGCCTCGCTCGGAAAGACTCCGGATAAAGCGTGGAAGACATTGCTGACAGGCAAGCAGCGGTCAGATGAGTCGTTTCATCAATACGTTGTCCGTGTTTGCCGAGAGGTAGAGGTGTGGGCCACACTCGCTATGACAGAAGATGGCGAGGTGGGCACCAAGTATAGCGCCGATATAGGTAAAATGGCCCCGGTGCTGCAAGCAATGGCAAAGCAGGTAATCTTGGAGCAATGCGGACCTGAGATGAAGACGTACCTGGTCGAACGGCAGTGCTACGGGATGTCACTGCGCCAGGTACAGGAGCACGGCGCGTCTTACCAGGTCGCGCACGGACGACAGGGTGATACTGCCAGGAAGCCAGTAGAACGATCCGTGCCAAGGCCCACGGCGTCGGCACAGTGCATGGCGATATCGGTCGCAGATGCAGAGAAGCAGCTAAAGTCGCTGCCACAGGAAGAGAGAAAGGGTTTTCTGCAGCGAGAGAGACTCTGCTGGAACTGCCTTAAGTATGGCCATATGGCCAGAGAATGTCGGTCAGGCTCGAGATGCACGAAATGCCAGAGGAAACACCACCTGCTAATACATGATGTGTTGGATAGAGCAGGTTACAGCCGGGAGAAACCGACTGAGATAGTTACGGAGAAGAATGTTGGGTCGTGCTGTCTACACTCGCCAAGTGTGCGGCTGATGACCGGAGTGGCACGAGTTGAGGGAAGAACTCGAAACGCGAAGGTTCGAGTGTTCCTGGACTCGGGTGCTGAGGCGTCATTCGTGACTGCAGCGTTGGTGTCAGCAATCGATGCAGAACACGTTGGGGTTGAAAATGTAGAGGTGAAGCCGTTCGGCGCGGAACCAACCCAACAGCGCATGGATAAGTACGCCATCACGATCCAGGGTAGCTCCGCTAGCATTCGGGTACGCGCGTTCGTGAAACCAACGCTTGAGCTGGACCTGAAGTGCGCAAGTCCGCAGACCATTGCGCAGTGGCACAGTTGGGGAGTAGAGCTGAGTGACAAGCCTCAACAAGGGACATCAGACGAAATACATATGCTGATTGGTGCAGACTATATCAACGCGGTACTGCACAGCAAGAAGGAAGTTAATGGTGAGACGGTGTGGAACACAGAGATAGGTAATGTATTATCTGGTCCAGCGTCTGCACCAAGTCGAAACAGTCAGCCGG